TGCAGCCCAAAACTGGTCCAACAGCCCGAGGATCGTGGTTCGTTGCTTAGCACTCAGTCGGTCAGAACTTAAAGGAGTGAGCTGACGCTCTAACGAAGGAGACCCATTTTACAAAGTTGATGACCATGCAACATGGCCTTCCCGATCCGCGTAACCCGCCTTATACAACATTCCATAAAAAAAAACCAAAATAAATTTTAAAAGTCACATCTCAAATGTGCAATTTCAAGATACCTGTATTGTTGCAAAGTCCTGGTCATACACCACAAAGCGTATTTCAGAAACAGAACTTGCAGGATTGTCATTGATGTATGCTATGACTTCTTCATACATAATTTCAGCAGTTACATCTCTTGGAAATCCTAAACCACCAGTACCAATAGCGGGGAAAGCAATGGATTTATATCCACTCTGTGCTGCTGTGTTTAAGCAGTTTTGCATAATCTTCCTCAAAACCTGAAATATAATGTAGTAAAGTGGAAATAACATACCCAATAGTAGATATTTAACAAAAGTTGCCTTTACAAACAACCGACAACAATTGACAAATCAATCTACAAGAATAACAACAAAACCATACAATTTTACAGATATTTGCCATTGTCGTTTATTTTTAAACATTATTGGCAGCTTAGCTGCAGATTTTAAGAACCTATCATGGCGAATAATGGATATTGACAATGCTATGATAATATATAATGTTTTTCTAAAATGCCTCCCTAGGTCTTTATTAAAGCAATAAAGGGGGACAAACACATTGACTACCTTTGCATGAGACATAAACATCCATAACTTAACACGCTCAAATTACAAAATGCTCATTTGAGTAACCTATATTTCGTACCTGACTAGCTTTGCTTCCATTAGAATCCCATCCACAACATAACACATGGTAGATGTTATTACACTGCATGTTTCCCCCACTGGTCACAATACCATCCCCTTCGTTTGTAGAAACACCACTTGTTTTTTTATTATTAATTTCTTGCTGTAGCTGTGTCCCTGCTGCTTGTAAGATGGATTTAGAAACTGCGCCAGTGTTGAGATTAAATGTGGGCTGTGTTGTGTTCACAATTACATCAACCTGTAAATAAAACAACGTTTCTGTCTTTAGGAATGACATGATTGGATACAGAAATGTAACCAGTTAATTCCACCACACTTCAACATATATTCTAGAAAATAATACTAAGTTTTAATAATATGTCCGTAGTGGTCTATATTATTATTTGTATTACGTAACTGGTAAACTATCAATTAAATCACAATAAATATAATTCTTACATGTCCGTGTTACTTCTCTAAGTCATTTGCTAAGCTGGCGATGATGTCACATGAGTGAGGAATTACGGAGTGTTATTTATTATTTATTTATTTATTTATTTATTTATCATACTACACCAATGGATCATGATATTTTAACATTACATTTCAAACGATATATTTTTACAGAAAGTGCAAAGCAAGATGTGGGAATTGTTTGAATCGCAAGGTTTTGGCTCAATGTTTTATGTCGAGATTGAATTATTTTTAATAAAGACTGATTTGGTCTATAACATTGATGAAAAGAACAGTTTCAAACTTCAAAGGGTCTTAGTATGACATGAAAAACATGATTGAAGTTATTACAATTCATATTGTCCCAGAAATCTCTTGTGAGTTGTCACTGTCCCTGTGCATCTGATATACATGCATACAGTGGTATAATTTAGCATATTTGCTTGTATAAATTTATCAATATGATTATGTGATTTTCACCTTCTCTGAAGATATACTTCCTTTAACCAAACGAACTGTCTTTCCATCTCTTATGCTAATTTCTCCTGGGTTTGATGTGACTTGGATACCACGACTTGAAAATGGAAGTTCATCATCACGAATGGAAGATGTGTTTGGTGCCACGTGTTTTGGGCTACTATTTTGCTGTGCTGTTTTAATGCCTCCTGATTGCTGCCTTGCTTTATTTCGTCTTCCACCATGGGTTTTTCTTTTATCACGACCTGCATACATTGAATACCAATTTGTAACTATTTGATTGTGATAGTTGCATAATATTGAGCACACATATTTTCAGAATTGTTTTTGATTTGGTAAAGTTCTTAGATTGTGTTACTTATATTTACCTGAAGATGAAGGAGTAATGTTATCCTCTCCAAAATGTTTCATCATAGCATGCTTAAAACTCTCACAAGTATTGTCAGAATTATCCACCAAGCGTATCTCAAGTAATATACCCGGTGGAGTATTTTTAGCCCAGTCATCAACAGCACTGACAATAGTGTTTGTGCACAGATCAAGGGAAAATCCCATTGTCCCTGAACTGATTGCTGGTATGCCTATTGAGCTGTATCCCAACTCTTCGGCCAGAGTCAGACTGTTCTGCACTGCATCTGTAAGCAAATTTTCTTCTTGAGAATATGGATCCCGTACTGATGAGTACCCACTTTGATGGTTTACTTTGTTTGATGATGGTCCAACAGCATGAATGATTGCTTTACATGGCATCTTACCACTAGTCGTATGCACTGCTTGGCCTGGGTGCAGTCTTCCATGTTGTTTCCTTAAAATAGCTTCACATGCTTTATGAATTGCCGGCCCACCTAGTGATACAGAAACGTGATGCTGGTTAAGATCAATGATACATTATCTAATATTATATATTTATCTATTTACAATTAAAATTATTATCTTGGAAAAAATCTATTTAACATAGTTACATGTCAGTTAACTCCATTAATTAAGATATGTATATTGGACAAGGCTGTTTACTAAAGCATTTATAGTGCCAATATGAAAAAACGGTATAATGTATCTAATTTACCAGTTTGTATTACCTGCGTCTGCAATTGCTTTAGATAATCCACCAGTATAACTCATATATGTATTTGCTGAATTGACAACTACATCAACAGCCATTTTTGTTAAATCGCCTTTGCCTACTACAATTCTTCTACCACCATGGATTGCATGCTGGCACACAATTTTCAGTGTTGGCTGTAAAGCAGCTTCTTTAAAGTGCTTCTCTGCTTCTTCTCCAGCGCCCTTTGTTTCAATTTCAGATGGATGATTTATGTCTATTTTGCAGTTTATTTCGTTTTCCACTAACTTAATAAGATTCTTTCCTTTTTCTTCCTTGAAGAGTTTTGGCATGCCAGGTTTGTCGACTGGATAAGGATGTGCATAGATAACATCAATTAGCTTTTGAACCTTCACTCTTGCTGTCTTAACATCATTTTCAGTACCTTTGAAAACGAATCCTACTGGACCATTGTATTTTGGCGTGATTTTGAATGGCTGGACCCTAGACTCGATCTGTATTTTGGATATGTCATCTTTTTTGTATTCAGAAATGTAGCGTAGTTTGCCATTTTCTGCTTCTACAAAATCTTCAATGATGGTGTGCACTTGAATGAATGTGTTTAGCTCAGACATGACCGAATCTGCATCAGTCTCAAAGCCAATAATCGATACCCTATTGTGCTCTTTTGAAATAATTACATTCTTTCTTTGTTCCAGATCTGATACCATGGTTTTCCATTCAAGTTGCTGTAAAGCTGCCTCTGACTCTGGTTTGATGTCTATTTTCAGTTCTTTTATGTTAGTTTTAATAATGTTAACAGCTTTGTCGAGGGTGGATTTGTCAATAGCTGAACATACAATCTCATCATCTTGTAAAAGGTAGCATGCATCTATCTTTACAGAACTAAAGTTGTCATGTAGACGTTTAGAAACTTTACTAGTTTTAAGATACTGCAACCATAATGTATTTGGTGGTTTCATCTTTGTAGTTGATAAACCTTCCAATGTCTCGTACATCAATACTTTTGCCTTTGGTATATCATGGGGAAGTCCTTCCAAAGATAATGTTTCTGTTTCAAGAATGATCTCCACATCTACATCAGGGAGTTTGTCATGTACCAGATTTTTGTATTCACACACCTGAAGCTGTCTTGCTTGAAGGGTATTGACTTTGATTTTCTCAGTGGTTCTCTCCTTTGCTTTCTGCATTTTATCTTTAATGTCTTTGACTACACTCTCTATCCTTGATTTAAGTTCAGAAACGTTATCAGACTTTCCAGTTAGGAAAACTGTGCATGATGACTGGTCCATGGTCATACACGCATCTTTATCCTGTGACCATCTCTTCAATTGAGCAACAACTTGGAGCCAAATGCCTTCCATTACAGGAATTGTGACACCTTTAAAACTCTGCAGATATTTATCCAGACCATTCTCCAGATCACTCATCCATGATTTGGTTATTTTGTGGAGATTATTTGTGTTTTCTGGGAGGTCTGGTGTCAACAACAGAACATCAGTTTTGTCTTGATGTGGCCACTCTACTCGAGCATATAACTGTTTCATGGTGTTTGTAAACTCTTCTAGGTCAGTATTCTTAATAAATTTGATGATATCAGGATTGACTTTGTATGGAAGTGGCTGTGGTATTCTTGGCATAGGTTCATCACAGGAGACAGTAAATCCAAGACATTCGTAATAAGGGTGGACATCAAGTTCAACTCCATTTATAACATGGTGTCTTGAAATTACCGATTTAACAACTGTAGGCGATATAAAATAAGATATTATTTGGTGTACATTTAATGTGGCAAACTTTTTAGTTGTCAAGGCCAAATTAACATTTTGTGTATTTAATTACTTTCATATTTCTTGTATTTACTGCATGCTATGCTATATAGTATTCACTGTACACTTAGATAAAACCATGTTGTGAATAGCGCCACCCGGAGTTATTTGTGAAAGTTATTCATAGTGTCAAGGTCGGTTTATATCTGAGATTAAAACCAGGTGGGTTTGTAGTGTGACTCAACCAGCTGTACAATACAGATGTGTACGTCTTGGAGATCCACCAATTTCTTGCTATTGCAAATTGTTTCACTGTAAATTGATTGCCTGGGAAGGTCTAAAAACATGGCGAGTGATTTCACATGTGTTCTTTGTATGGTTTAATTTAAGTGCCATTATGGTGTAAATATAGCGTACACTGTTTACTGCGCCATTACATTGCTTTTAAGTGTAAATAACTTCACTATGGCCAGAACAACCAAGACTTCAGTATAGATTTAGTTAAGTTTGACAAAACTTATTCATTTACTTTTCATAGTGTTATGTTAGGAAACTTTGTTGGTTTCAGTAGAACCATTGTCAGTGTACTCGTGTACTGTCTATTACTTAGAGCTATTTATAGTACTCACACGTGTCTATACATGCATACGGATATTGTAAGAGCAATATTTGAGCATGTCTCTCACAATTTATATCACCCTGTAACAAACTGACGGTGTTCGCGCCTAACGATGTCCGATTGGGTTGATTTTCACATACAACACAGGGTCAACGTTAACAAAAACCTTGATTGGACGACCACAAGCAGCCAGTGCACTCCCATTCGTCGAGAGATGGCAAACGGAAACAAAATCAACGAAAACACAGACACTATTCGGGAATAAAACACCGAAGAACTGTATTCCTCATCGTACCACTTCAAATTACAAGACTACAAATGAATAACAAGATGACCTCGTAATCTTATCACGTGACTTCA